ACTCAGATCTAAGTTTATCCGGAACAGCAACCATGACCAACAATAAAATAAGTGAGAACACTAGAGGAACTGTCTAAAAACGTTAGGCGTGCACTCCAGTATTTTCAATATAATGTTCTATCGGTATACGTTTTTCATATGGTTTCTGCAGATTTGCTTTGGCTCCAAATTTGAAACAGTTCTGCACACACCATCATTGGTTGCAGCATTAGGATGATAGACAAGATGGCCGTCATGACAGTGTCAATAAAAGCTGGTGTAACAGTATGTGGCGAATGATACTCACGTAATGTGCCAGAAATATGTATGTAAAATCATATGGATCCGGATGATGTGATTTCACCTGGATGTACTATAATTGCGTAGACTGAGCTGTTTCGTGCATATTTCAAAGTGGATTGATGCATAGTTCATACTAAACTCGATTTTTTGAAATTCACTTTAATTGTTATGAGGTAAAGAGTGGAGCTAGTTGCCATAGCAGTTTCTGTGATTACCTTTTTGTATTAAAATGTTGATCACACTTGGCTTTTGTTTCCTCGAATGTTTGTTCACAGAGCTGGACAGTCTTCTTGTTGTGGAATGACTCAAATAAAAGGCTTTTGAGATTTCCTGACCGATGGTTTACTTTTTGCATTTATCATTTGAAAGTCACTTTTGAAACAAGTAAAAAAAATAAATTTACATGTAAAATTAATAAAATTGTAACTATTTATTAATCTACAAAATACTAAAAGCATTTTAGTTGTATATGATATACTTATGCCTGAAATGATGACGGCATTTATTAACAGGGCTTTCTCGTCTTCATCTAGCATTTAAAGAAGCGCAAACTGACTAAACGAGTATTAATTTATGTGAAGAAAATGTACAAGTCACTAAGCTGTGTGCGAGAAAAGAAACCATCCATCATATTCTGACGGAGTACAGTTCAACTTCCAGGGTTAGATTTAGTTTATAATCTAAACGCATTTCATCTAGCTCTTTTAACGCTCACAAAATATTGATGTGAACAATTAGATACAGGTCACTTTATTGGTGGTTGATCGGTTCTTGGGCATAGTTATATAAACGTCATTAAATTGACCCAAACTGATTAACTTGGCTGGTTTGATATCATGTCTCGGTCTGACTAAATTAGTATAGTTTATCTCAAAATAAATTATATATGAACATGCGCAATACATGTACAGACAAATAAAACCCTGCAAAATGACATCTGCATTTCCAACTTATCGGCATAAGACAAGTAACTAATGATGATTTGGACAATATATTTATGGTCTCATCTAAACACTAAAGAAGGATTATTTTATAACTTCATATCACTGAATTACATGTTGAAATAGTGATTCAATATTTCAACAGTAACTGTTAAAGGGAATTGAAACACTGTCAAGATTGAGTTCAATCTATATTGTTAATAGTCGGCCATAAACAAGTCATCCAATATCGGTGAACATTTATATTGCGGTTAGACTGATAATTGTTATATAATCACTTAATTCTTGATAAAGTAGAATATTTCAAAAACAATGTTTTCATCATAAATATCTATCAAAAACTAAACAACAGCATCAATATCAAGATTGGACATGATAGTTTCAAATAAATTGAGTATTGGGTGGAAAGTTAATGATAGATAAATATATTTTTGTTATGTCCCAATGAGTAGAAAAATGATGACTTACATTAAGTCACGAAATGTCAGAAATACAACCAAAATATATTTATTATTGACAACAGCGTTACTGTTACGATAACTATAAGCACCTTGTAGTGTTCTCATTTTTCCATATACGGTGTTCTATGAGCGTCCTTATACTGAGTAAACCTTGAAATAACAGCATAAATACAGTACCTGTTCCAGATACAATTTTCGGATCATCCTAGAGTTACGATAAAAATATTTTGTACACACCATTCGCAAAGATATGAACATAGCCTACTGTGAGAATCTATACTCACTATAAATTAAACACACTACTAATAAGATATGGTTTTTTGTGAAATTTGTAACAATTAGTTATTAATATGTAGGAATCTTGCACTGGAAACATCTCACTACACTATATTTAATATGATCTAAGCACACAAATGATTGTTATATGGACAGGTGAACTTAATTGTTTCATATTTAACATCTTATTGAGAAAAATGCTAAATACGGAATAATGGAACATATATATGATACATACAGGATCACACCATGAGTGGAATAGATGCACAATCAAATGAATCTACGATCGATGAAACATGTATACAGTACTACTAAGAAAAACTTGAAAATCAAGCATAATTAAGTGACCTTGGAATTGAGCACTTGTAAAATAGCCATGAGGTAAGAGAAAAACTATTGTTGAGTTGTAAGAAATGCAAAAGTAATCTCTGCTGTGTGATACACTAATTAAGTAGGTGACTCACTACAACTTCTCAATGTTATTTAACCGATTTAACATCATGTGTTCAGCCAAATTATAACTATTAGCTAGTGCTTAAACGATGCATACACTAATTGGTGAAGTTAAAGGGACACAAAACACTGGGCACTACGGCAACAATCTCATTCACTTCATTAAATGAAATATTCTTATTTAAAGAAAGCCTAATTTCACATGAGTCAGTTTAAAGTAACTAAAAAAATTAACCTTATAAAATAAACAATAAATTCCAAATGGAAATAGCTCGGACGGTGACTAATGCATAAAATAATAAATTCAGTATAGTAAGATATAGACCAACGTTTCTACGGTTTTAAGCAACATAATGAGTAGAAAACTAACTGGAAACAACTTTGATTCCTTTAAAATATGCACCTGATTTCTGCTATTACTAACCAAAAAGGGGGTGACTGAAATAATCTGAATTTACTAAGAGAATCAGATAAATAAGAATTTAAGTAACATGTAAAGGTCGATATAAAAATTATCATCTGGAGAATCTGAAAATGTGATTATTGTTGTTTAAACTTTTTATAGATATAATTGATAACACTAGGATTTTCAGACTAATAATGCCTTCTGATAATAAATACATTAAGTTAGGGTCTCAGTGCGAGCATTAACACTGTAGACACATACAGGATGAAACGCGCGTCTTGGATTACATTGATAGCCTTGATACAAATTGATTAAGACTTGTAACTAAATGAACTACCGAGCTAATCAGCTAAGAATGCATATATGTTAGTAGAGATTGAGCAAATGTAGCGCTAATATCGACAACGGGAAAACTCCAACTCATCCACTGAAATTTAGTTTAAGAATGACGATATTCGGCCAGTGTGACGCCTTTGTTAAAAAAGGTTCGTGAAACCATATGTGCTGATATTTACAGAACTCTAGCACCATACAGCACCTGCAAGTAACCCGCTGAGTCTCGCACTACGTTTATGCTACACAGTATTCTGGTTTGTTCTGTTTTAGATAGGAAGTAACACACATGTCATAGGTGTCAGCACTAGCTTGTTGTGGAATCGAAAAATATATTAAAATGCAGTTAAATGCTGACAGGATGGGGAGTTCCGGATACGTAACGCGACATCTCAAGATCACAAGGTCTGTGGCTTGTCCATTACTTCGATGATATATATATATATATATGCATGAAGCGTGTATATCAGTATTAGACTTATAACATTGAGATTATAACGCATCCGTACTCTGCATAGCTGATTAGAGAAGCGTTAGGAAGCATGTAATAGTCATTGAATCAAAGCAAAGGCCATGATCGACATAATGTTTTGGGTAAAGCGGATGCATTAGAAGTTATGAGTGGAAAGCCGCGAACCATGAAGAGAATATGATTTTTATTTTCTCTTCAAATCTTTCCTTTGGCGATATAATGTGTAGCTATTGAATTGACACGTTTACTCCATGTGCTAAGTTACCGGGAGTCCATCCAAGTGATGTCCACAAAAATGGTTACAGTTTATCATAGGAATCAGTTCAGTACGTAATTTTATACGCAGGCTTTTTCTCTAACAATCATATGAGAAGTAGGTATAAAGGCAGTATTTTAATATATCAACTATTTTAGTCGATACAAACTAACAATAAAATCAATTGATTTGCCCCGTTAATATTCAAGTTTTATTTAAATTCAACATTACCCACTGGGTAGAGGATACTGAATACCGAAACAAGAATAATAGGCATTTTGGTTAGGTAAAAGTGAACCTAAGTTAATTGTGGACATTACATTTATACTCACATATACACAAAAAACAAGACAATCATTTAGTAAAATCTACTTTTAAAATGATGTAACTAAAAACTAACAATAAACATGTAAACAAAACAAAATAGGTGAAAAATTCTAAAGATGTCATTCATAAACAAGCAAGAAAGAGCACACCAGATGTGCTTTATTGTAAAACACTTACTAAACCAAAAAAGCACTGAACTAAATTTCTATCATAAATTGCTGTTATACATCGTTCAAATATAGACATATGTAATTATGGAATAAAAAAATGACATTTTAAATTACATTCAGTTAAACCATATAGGGGGCATAAAAAAAGCTAAAATAAAACAAACTATTTATAATGGTTTTTGTGAAAAATGTTAGTCACCGGCTACCATATGACTGCATCTTTTTACGTTACCCCACTGCCTTGTGGATTAGACCTCTAGATCAAAGGCTCCGGGTGTAACCTACTAAGAAAACCACCTTCTTCTGTCTGGGCAGTATCACAATCCACACACAAATCACGTGACTTGTGTGTCGCAAATGTATTCGGTGCCCCGAGTACCAATATTTATGTGTTCAAATAGGTGAATAAGAATTATTACTATTACTTAGTGAATTACTTACCAACTTGTTCATAAGATATTGTTTAACTTACTACTTATGGATTGATAAATGATAGCGTGGTGTGTGTTACTGATGTCGACAGATATAAGTAGTATGTATCACCAATCAAAAGTGAAATGCCTGACGGCAGAGGGTCAAGAAGATCGAAGAAAAGAGAACGAGAACAGAGAGTAATTGGTGTGGAAACGAAGAAACAATCAAGTCTGAGACAATTGATAGACATTTTGCAAGTGGAGTATTTGCTGTATGGTTCTCGAATTTTACTAAGAGATTTTGTAATTTTATATTCACATGTATTTGGTTGTCTCCACTGGTGTTCTCGTTCACTACAATACTTTCTTATCTAAATATATCTCCTCTAGTATTGACTGATCACAGAAATGTATAATATGTGATGGAAAATTGACGAAAATGTTGAACTGAAACGAAGAACATTTATTTTGTTTATAATCAAATTTATCACTATATAAAATGTAAACCGTACAATAAAAAAAACAGACAAACAATAGAACGGATAAATAATAATCCGATAAAATAATGAACATAAGTACAAACAAAAAAATATATTAAAAAGGAAAATATAGATACAAGTAATACAAATATATAATAACGAACAAACGGACGAACACCCATCTGCAGGTAACTAAATAACGAAAGAAAAAAGAGAATGAATTAACAATAAAACGTAATAGATTATGCCTTTGTTATTTTATACAAGTTTTAAGCCAATCTATTTTTTTCGCAAATATGAAGCACGTATGTGCGACCAAATATGATAACGTTTTTTTATAGATATGCATATTTCTGACGATTCAGGCATAAACCGCTTGTATAGTTTATGTGAATTTAATTTTTTATTATTATTAAGATCAGTATTATTAATATCAACAGACGGAAGACTATTTGCTTCTGACTGAAGTCGTTTGTGTACAGCTTCAGTTGCTGCGGAGAAACTTGGCCATAAACCTAAAAAGATAGATAAAAGAAAGGCTGGCTAATAAACTAGTTAGGAAGTAATTAACAAATATATCAACGCTAGTTTCACAAACTGGACAACCATAATCAGAATAAACGTATTCATCCTAATATCACAAAAAAAACACATTCATCATTTCCAAAATGATAGTGATTTGAAGATATTTATCAGTCTCTGTGATCTGAGCGTACCTAACGTAAGAACGTTATGCGAAATTTCAGTAAACATGTGATTTTCATTTAGAATTAATACAGTAATGTTTTGTTCTGTATGATATTTCTTGATATAGATGACGTAGAAAGCTTAGATAATTAGTTTGACTTATATTTAACTGCGATGAAAAACATTGTAATAGCTGGAAATGACAATAGATCAGAATAATCGTGTCTTATGCCAAAAATATTTTCCAATGACTTCATTATGAAATGAAATCTCCAAAATTTAGCACGAAATGAAGCACACTTCTAAAAAAGTTTTCTCCATTCTACCAACATTATATTCCCGTAGGTCATATGACATGTTAATCACATTTGTATTTGTTAACTAGGAAATGTAAAAGGTGCACATTGCATATAATAATTGACCATTAGCGTTACTGAAATATGTTCTAACAGTGTTATGAATAAAAAGCCTTGAAAATTGTAAATGTAGGATGTAGAGGGGGGAAATTTTGTACATCATTGTGAAGATCTCTCATCCCCTTTAACTTTACGTTACTGTATTCAAATCTCGATGTTCATAGTTGAAAGTCAAAATTTTATGTTTTGATGAGGATTTGTTTAACTATACATCATTGATGGTTCAGGTGAGATTCTGAAACGGGAAAAACGACCTAAGAAAAGCTTCAATAAACAGCCGCTACGTAATAGCCTACTGTCCACAAACTCAAATTAGCGTGAGAGCTGCCGATTATGAGTACAAAAAGATGATGTTTCATATCCCCTTTATATGTTGAATGTAGTTCATTTAAGTTCATGGTATTTAATACCTGAGATAATGTTATGTACTTTGATATGTGAAAAGCTTCTGGCAAGAACTAGCTTCGGGTGTAACACACTATTGTGATACTTATTTATTTATTTTAACACATAGATATTGGTACAAGGAGGCAACAAATACATATGCACCACACAAATCACATTTGATATGTGTGAGGGCTGTGATACTGCCCGGGTGCTCAAACCGAACCAGGTGGTTTTCTTAGGGGGCCCCACAACCGGAGCCTTCGACCTGAAGGTTTGATCCACAAGGCAATGGAGCATCTTAAAAAGATCCAGTCCCATAGTAGCCGGTGACCAACGATTGGTTCATACGCCATTTGTTCCAACACAATACTGCAGCCCATGTGCACCATTGGTTTGGAATCAGGGTTTTCCAACTCTCCTAGGTCGACCCTCCATGTCCACCAACCTGGTTAATGCGCCGCCCCCTGAATGCCCTGGTACGGCCGAGAGTGGGGAGAGTCCGCTCTCCCTCTCGAAATACTCTCACACGGCCATGCGTATACAGCCTCTGCCAGGGAAGTCCTACTCATTGCCTTCTCGTGGCGGGGGTGTTGTTTACGAAAATGAGAGGACGAAAAGCGAATGTCCGGCGCTTTAACCGGATTCCAAATCAATGGTGCACATGGGCTCCAGTATCCTGCGGGAACGAATGGCGTATGAACCAATCGTTGGTCACCGGCTACCATGGGACTGCATCTCCTTACGATGCTCCACTGCCTTGTGGGTTAGACCTTTAGGTCAAAGGCTCGGGGAGTGGCCCCCTAAGATAACCACCTGCTTCGGTTTGGGCACCCGGGCAGTATCACAGCCCACACACAAATGATGAACTCTTTATGTCTATGGAAATTACTTTTGTCGCTTTGAAAAACAATCAATTGATTCAAATTATGATCACTACAATTATTGTCATTATTAATACTAATATTATTATTACTACTATTATTGTCATTATTGTTATTATCATCATTATTATTATTATTTTCCACATTATTCACCTTCTTTTATACTTATACAGCGGCTCGTCTTTGGTGGAATTCCGACTGTATCTAAACGTTCTCGAGTCACTGTCCAGTTGAAAATTGTATGTTACCATCGAATACGAGGACTGAAGCAGATTTTCTGAAACCACGTGCATCATTCAAACTGGCTGCCTTCAACGTTCGCACATTTATGCAGGTCGGACAACAGATAGGGCTGGCTATGTCTTTGGAAAGTCTTAATATCGACGTGTGTTGTCTATCCGAGACCCGTATTCAAGACTCTGGCGAAGTACTACAAATTCGATCTCCATCTGTCGCTTCGAAAAGCTTGTTTCACGTGCGCTTATCTGGGGACCCTGTGGCATCTTCGTCTGGTCTTGCTGGCGTTGGTGTCGCACTAAGCGCTCGAGCTGAGGCAGCACTAGTCGATTGGATCCCCATTAACAGTCGGTTATGTGCTGTTAGATTAGAAAGTTACATCAAAGTGAGAAGAAATCGGCGTGAGAAAAGATGACTTTTCGTCATCTCCGCCTATGCCCCGACAGATTGCGGCCCGGATGCAATCAAGGATGAGTTTTACCACCAGTTATCTGTTCTTCTCCAGAAAGTGCGTTCGACAGATATTGTAGTACTAGCCGGAGACTTGAATGCTCAGGTCGGGCGTCTAGGCACAGAAGAGAGTCGTTTAGGTGGCCGATGGGGACTCGTTGGTCGCAGGTCAGATAACGCGGACTGTCTACTGCAACTGTGCACAGACCACAACCTGTTTCTGGCTAGCACTAACTTTCGGCACAGTCATCGCCGATGTGCCACCTGGCGTCCTCCCTCTGCATCTCAAGCCTGGACTCAGATTGATCACATCGCGATCAGCTACCGCTGGCGTGGTTGTGTACAAGACTGCCGCTCCTTTTGGAGTACCTATCTGGACTCTGACCATGCCTTGGTATGCGCCAATCTTGCCTTACTTTTCAGTGGACAACGAAGTGAACGCCATCAACGGATTGATGTTAGCAAGCTGGTTGCAACTTCTGTTGCTAGTAAGTATCGAACCGAGCTAGCCTCTAGGCTAGCTACCACTCCACCGAAAAGTATAGATGAACATTGGTTGCAATTGCATGACGCCATGAAAATGGCGGGAACAGTCAGTTGTGGGTTTGCGAAACGTCCCGCTTTTAAGCACTGGGTTTCTTCTGGTTCCTTACAACTCATTGAAGCCCGTCGGTCTACTCCGGGTAACCGTGAGTTTGACCATAAACGAAGGATTTTACGTAAGGAAATCGGGCAAAGCTTGCGTAAGGACCGAGAAGCCTGGTGGTCGATGCGTGCTAATGAGCTGGAAGCAGCAGCTGCATCTGGTAACTACCGGAAGCTCTTCCAACTCATCCGAGCCACTGGCAGCAAGAAGTCTGGTGTGAGTGAAACAATCTGCGAGGATGATGGGATGCCAATCACTAACATCCATCGACGTCTTGGACGATGGGCAGAATTTTTCGAAGGGCAGTTCAACTGGCCTGCTGCTCCGGCAACATCGGTCAGACTGTCCTGCCCTCCATGGCCGGTGACGACTGATCCACCAAACGAGGAGGAAGTCCGCAAGGAACTCCAACTCTTGAAGCGTTACAAATCACCTGGCCCAGATGACTTACCTCCGGCTCTTTTTAAAGATGGTGGTGACTTTTTGACTAAGGAATTGACGACGTTGTTTACAAAGGTTTGGGAACTAGAGAGTGTGCCAACGTCATGGAATGAGTCGATAGTTGTCCCTATCTTTAAAAAGGGTTCACGTCGTTCCTGTAACAACTATCGGGGGATAAGTTTACTTCCGATTGCGTCCAAGCTATTGGCTTCCGTCATTCTTCGTAGGTTGTTCAAAACCCGAGAAAGATTGACTCGCGAGGAGCAGGCTGGGTTTCCTTCTGGTCGAGGATGTATTGATCATATCTTCACCCTCCGCCAAATGTTAGAACACCGCCATACTTATCAAAGGCCAACAATCGTAGTGTTTCTTGACATCAGGGCTGCCTTCGATTCGTTGGACAGAACTGTTCTCTGGGATTGTCTATTGAAGAAGGGTGTGCCTGAGAAGTTTATTAACATCCTAAAAGCCCTATATAAAAACACCTCAGGCAGAGTGAGGGCATACAACCACCTCTCTCCATTGTTCCATTCGAGTAGTGGGGTTAGGCAGGGTTGCCCAATCTCACCATTCCTCTTCAACTTTGCCATCGATGACATTCTGGAAACAGCTCTGATGAATGTAAGTAATGGTGGTGTGGATCTGTTGCCTGGAGAAAGACTTCTCGACCTTGAGTATGCGGACGATATTGTCTTACTGTGCGATAATGCCCAAGGCATGCAATCCGCACTTAATCAGTTGGCAATCAGTGTCCGTAGGTATGGTATGTGCTTTGCACCTTCGAAGTGCAAAGTACTTCTACAAGACTGGCAGGATTCTAATCCTGTACTCACCCTGGACGGTGAGCAGATAGACGTAGTTGAGAAGTTCGTGTATCTGGGTAGCTGCATAAATGCTGGTGGGGTTGTGAGTGATGAGATCAATGCACGAATAGTGAAAGCCAGAGCGGCTTATGCCAATCTGGGCCATCTATGGCGCCTTCGTGATGTTAGTCTGGCCGTAAAAGGTCGGATCTACAACGCGTCGGTGAGAGCAGTTTTGCTCTATGCTTGTGAAACCTGGCCTCTCCGAGTTGAGGACGTTAGACGACTCTCTGTGTTCGATCATCGCTGTCTCCGAAGGATTGCTGACATTCAGTGGCAACACCATGTCAGTAATGCAGAGGTTCGGCATCGTGTGTTCGGGCACAGAGATGATAATGCAATCGATGTCACCATCTTGAAACACCGACTTCGGTGGCTTGGACATGTTCTCCGAATGTCGTCCCAGAGGATTCCACGTCGTGCATTATTTGCCGACTCTGGTACTGGTTGGAAGAAGCGGAGAGGTGGTCAGTGCATGACATGGTGTCGTGACATGAAAGAAAGCTGCAAAGGACTGGCTTGTGTTGGTCCTTCACGACTCCCTGGCTGGGGTCCGAGAGATGGTGCTACACAGTGGCTAGAGACGTTATCAGATATGGCTCAGAATAGAAGCCAGTGGCGATCCTGCTGTAACCTTCTTTTACTTTCTTCATAAAAAGTGGTTGTGTCTCCTTTACCTGAAAGATTTCTTCTGATTGTACCTTTTCGTTCCGTCGTTACTACCACACTACCTTACTCCAATCTCTTCGTCATTACTCTCTTTTTCTTTTGCGTTCCTTAGTTTTTTTTTCTTTCTTTCTACTTCTCTTCGAATTCCCATTGTTTTGTGTGGCGCATATATATTGGCGCTCTCTTGTACCAATATTTATGTGTTCAAATAAATAAATAAATGGTTAATGCGCCGGACATTCGCTTTTCGTCCTCTTAATTTCGTAAACAACATCCCCGCCACGAGAAAGCAATGAGTAGGACTTCCCTGGCAGAGGCTATATACACGTGTCCATGTGGAAGCATTTCGAGAGGGAGAGCGGACTCTCCCCACCCTCGAACATACCAGGGCATTTGGGGGCAATTATTGTGATACGGGAAAAAATATTTAACTTTTCAGTATAGGGTTGTAGAGATTGTTGAACTTCATTGCAATTATGAACCAATGTTAGACCATTAATAGCCCAGAAGGCCGTTTCGTCCCAGTGTGAGACTCCTCAGTAGTACCTAACCACGACCCCGCACGAGAGAATAGAAGTCAAGACCTTCGGTTTCACGCGTGAACACTTAGCCTCCAAACCAATGAGTGGGCATCCAACGATGTTATTGTCTAACCTAAATTATTCTACGAGGGAAGTTTACGGAGTTCTGGAGAGGAGCCGTGACCAGTGGAATCCAATCCATGTCGGATGTGAAACAGTTACCCACCTAATGTCGTGGATTGATTGAGGTTAGACATCAACACCCTCGTATAGACTCATTCGTCTAGGGAGTAAGTGTCCGCGCGTGAGACCGAAGATCCCGACTTATATTCCCATGCGAGGGGTTTTGGTTAGGCACTACTGAGGAGTCCCATACTGGGATGAAACGACCTTTCAGGTCTTTTGGGCTTTTAATGATGGTCTAACACTTATTGATTTATAATTTCAATGAAAAATATTGTAAATTTTCTGATTATTCATATAAATTTCGAAAGTTGGAAGAGAAAAATGTTTCATTTGAATGGAATTAGAATTAAAATGAGATATATGTTTAATGTTAAATTCCTATTCATCAATGTTAGGGCAAACACGTAATATGCTACGCATAAATTAATCTCCGTTCAAATTTAGTAAGGAAACAGGTTGAATACATTTCTTTTTAAAAACAGTATATTAACAGAAAAATCGAGTGATTAACACTGTCTTTTGTGTGAATGCAACTTAAAGTGTCCAAACCACAAAATTTAGAATAAAATTCTAACTTGTGACAAAATAAGTGAAACACAAATGTCGGAAACAACAAGCCAGAAATAAACATATAGAGAAATATCGACAAAATCTAGAGTGGACTATCTCGTTTCTCCAATTACGTAACTTAAAACCTAATTCGTCTAAAATGTAATGAAGAACAGAAAACATATGGGGAACATTGAGTGACCTGACAGTAATCTTGGTGTGATTTTATTACGAACTAGTGAACAAGCAAAACATTGAAAGCCATACTTAGTGGTTAAGATTCAGTCTCAATGTATATCCATAAGAATCGAAACAATACAGCAATATGTTCATGAAACTATTTATATTATGTTTGTAGTAAAATAAAAAATATTTTTGGATAATCATGAGCAATCCAATGAAACAGTACACAATATGATACATATATATAATACATTTGAAAGCCTATTATAAATAATTTCTGGTCTTAAATATTAAATTGCATTGAATCTACGCTTAGTACCACTAATTGTTGTCAACCGGTTCATATTTCTTCTTATATTCTCCTACAGATTCTTTCACGTATGCTTCTCTGAATACTCGTCCAACATGCACAGTGAGAATCACAACCTATCAACGACTGAGTGTTATATATATTGAAAATATTAATTACTGCTGCCGTTGTTATTCAAAACTAGTGATTCAAAATGATTCATTTAGGATGGCAGTGAAAATGTGAGTTACTGACATTTGTCAATACGGACAAAAGAACTTTCTATCGATGTTTGCTTCTGTATAGCACACAAGTGTATGCAAGAATATTAGTCAGAAGTTTGAGCTTCTTAGGAATTACTACCGGAATACAATAATAAAATATATGTCGAAAAATAGTTGATGAATTTACCTGCACCGACACCAGCAACAATTGCTGCACCCATACAACTACATTCTTCAAGACCTCTGCGTTCCACTGGGATTCCGATTACATTAGATATACGCTGTAGCAACCAATTTGAACGTGCCACATTTCCATTAACATAAAGAATAGAAGGAGAAATGCCTGGAGGAAAGGACGGAAAAATTAAATATGAGAATATAGTATTCATCAAGTTTACATATTAATAATTCATTCACAAACAGACAGATTATGATGTCTATTTTGTGTGACTTCACGATCGTAGTTGAAATGTCTGGGACTCAAACCACACTATTACATTGATAAGAGAGATCAAAATTTTTAAGCATTGGAATAAAATACATACTTTCAACAGACATTAACTAACAAAGTCGGATAATCAATCAACTACAAAGCATTCACACCTTAATAACAGATAGCTTGAAAGAAATTATGGGTCTATAGGGTTTCAAGATAATAAATGAACAGAATTTTCGCTACTAAAAATTTTGAATCTGTGTGTGGTGAGCAACTATAAGAGAAACTATAAAAAGATATATTTAGTAAGGATAAGATAGGAAAATAATTGAGCAAAATGGGAGGAATATGAACAAAATGTGGTACGTAACTTAACATTAAAAAAACAGGTTCTCTAGAAAACATATATCGCTGGAGTAGCGTAGAGAAGTAGACGGTATTGAATATAACTAAGGAATAAGTGAGGAAAAACCTGAGAAAAAGTCGTATTTAAAGCAATTACTCCGTTTTATAAATTTCGATAGAGCAATGAGAAGATGGATTTAATCTGAAAAATGTGATGTATTTGTAATATACATTTCGAATAATCTGATCACACATATACTCGTCAGGGTATTTTATATGAAGATTAATAAAGGTTAGTTAAATGAAAGTTCAAGTGATAAAGGTATTAAAGGAGACAGAAATTTTTTTACGTCGTATAGAAGGAATAAGAAATTGCCGTATTACCCTTGGCCACAAAATGAACTAAGGATTACCAAGGTAAAGGCTGCGACAAATTGTTTTTGTACACATAAGGGGGGTCTGGATTTAGGAATAGTCAGGGCTTCAATAAACCTGAGAATTCGTCCTTGACAATTTCTACACAACGTCTTAAAAGCTGTGTTGATGTCAATTTCATGCCCCGTTTCAATTGTGTTTTTCTATCAATGAACATGGTTTCCTACTTCCCACGTTGATCGGATCATTTGACACTAACTGGTTTTGAAGACATCTAGGCACACGTTCCATGGCCCTTAATTGCATTGTTCGGTTACTCCTCCGTATGTATGTGTGTCCGCACAAACATGTGGATTGGCAAATGAAATGGGATGTGACGTAACCATTTGTGCATTGTCTAGGTCTATTTAGAATCACTGGCTTAGATATTTCAATCCCAACCAGCTTAGCAGCATAATACGTTTTCTCGACGGGTGCTTTCAATCTCTGTCTTTAAACCATACTGTTGGGTTCACCTCTACATGGTAGACAGATATATACTTTTTTTTCGGAATCGAATAAACGAGAGGTCTTACTGTTGACTGACTTTTTCACCTGTTTATAAACTTTAGTGGATAAAGATTTGATAGTAGTGTGTCAGTGAGCAGCTTTTCATCTTCTCCAACCGTATTAGTGGTGCATATTCTATGAATCCTATTTAAAAGGCATTTAACCAAGCCTCGCTTGTATTGCAATGGACAGAAACTATGGAAATTTAAATATTGCCCCCTTTATTACCTTGATTACTTGGACTTTCATTTAACTAACCTTTATTGATCTTCATATAAAATACCCTGACAAGTATGTGTGTGATCAGATTTTCCGAAATATACATTACAAATACATCACTTTTTTCAGATTAAATCCATCTTCTCATTGCTCTATATAAAACATATCTTTATCTAACTAAATTTTTTAAAGGTGATCACATGGAAAAGAAAACCAAAAACAGAAGACGGTTTGTGTAAAACTCCTTCTGTCACAATGTAAAGTAGACAAACATCTATCACATGTCGCCTTTGGCTGCACAATGCAATTCACATGTAAGTGCAAAAGTAAGTATGTAGGAAGAGTAGAAATACGGTCAATTATTTGTTTTATTAAGGAAATCCCAAAGAACTTGAACAGCATAGAACATAAAAGTCTTTGCTGTTACACAACGGATACAAATTAGACACCATACACTTAAAACAACTAATAAACAGACTAGGTTCGATTTGTGGGGGTTATAGCTATCAGGTTTAAAATTGCTCTTTGTATTGAAGAGTCAGTGACTAACTTTTAACTAGCCTGCTAATTGAAAGGAACAAATGTAAATAATTGATTTTTTCATTATCTACAATCCGATGAGTTCAAATTACAGATGTTTCTCTCTTAGTTTTGTGATTTTCTACCACATTATTTAATAAAATCATATTTTCCAGTATTCTAGAGATATCAATTTAATTAGTTTGCGAAAACTCTCATAAAATATCAATGTTGACCTTATTACTGACAGCTTGCTCTTTACTGACGGGTAATTTATTTATTGAAACAAAATTCCATATGTACATTTATAACTTGAACTAATCAAACCTATTAATTTGTATTTGTAACTGAAGAGAAAACGAATGAATTTATTGTACTTTGATAAATTGTCATTCTTATACTTATTCAAATTTATGGAGGGATAAAACTGTATGAAAATGAAAAGTGTTGGTTTAAGATAAATCATTTAAAATATGACTTGTTTCAAACATTTAACCCAATGTTAACTACAAAAATGTTCACTTACGTGTTTGTTTACGACAATTTTCTAACATGAATTTTGTACAAAATGCAATTGACTCAATAAAAATACGTGCAACAAGTAGTTTGTCAGCAGACTTTGAATAATCCAATCCGATTACGAATCCATCAGGTCCGTAAAATGAATTTTTGTTTAATTTTAATGGTCCGCCTATTAGCGTGTTTTGATGATGTTTAAGTGTATTCCTTAGCAATGGGATATAGAAGATATTTTCACGAGTAGCTTTTTCATCCAAACCTAAAAAAATATTTTAGCAAGAGAAGGATAGCTATTTATGAATCAGAACATTTACTAGTGATATATATCAGTTAGTTATTAACGATTAAACTAATACTACATTTTGGTTCTACGTGCAAATCGTATTTATTAATTTAAGAAATATTACAAGGATGAAAATGAGTTTAGTAAACCATAGAAGAAACAGAATTTGTCACATAAGAGAATCAAAAACTTATATGACTCTTTATTATTGATATTACCGTTTAGAGAGAAAACAAAAACTATGAAACGTTTTCACTACTGAATGTTATATCCGGACGAGAATAAATGAGTGGTAACCGTTAGGAATTACTTATCGACTAATATTAGACGTATATTTTTATTGTATGATTATTAAATGACTATGTTATATGTATATCCATATTCCGTTCATTATGATTTTACTTGACCTATTTGTTACCGCTAAATGATTCGCAGTTCTCAAGTTATTCTCAATCTATTAGTCACAGTTTCTCACAATCACAGCCACTTTTGGTTTGATCTTGTAAAAATGTTATTTTCTTTTTTTATGGTGTGATATGGTTTGATCTGTTTGTATAAAAACCTAGTATGTTTGAAACATGATTCATATAGCGGAGGCGTTCTAGACTTAACAGGCAGGGCTAGGCAGAAAAAGGACCAATTGGGATTCTAGGTTGCTCGTACTGGTGTATGCACCATTAGTTGGATCGAATAATTCAGCGTATCTAAATTGACAACGGTATTTCGCGATAATAGTATAAGGTATGGTTAATAATATTATCATTTGAACACATAAATATTGATACTAATGGGCACCGAATACATATGCACCACACAAATTAAATGAGATTTGTGTGTGGGCTGTGACATTGCCCAGACCGAAGAAGGTGGTTTTCTTAGTAGGCCACACCCGGAGCCTTTGATCTAAAGGTCTAATCCACAAGGAAATGGAGCAACGCAAAAAGATGCAGTCACATGGTAGCCGATGACCAACAATAGGTCTACACACCATTTTTCTCTTCATGATCCTCAAGTCTATGTACACCATTGGTTTGGAATCAGGGTTTTTCAACTCTCCTAGGTCGACCCTCCGTATCCGCCAAACCGATTAAAGCGCCAGACATTCGCTTTCCGTCCTCTCAATTTCGTAAACAACACCCCCGCCACGAGAAGGCAGTGAGTGAGACTTCTCTGGTAGTCGCTGCATACGCGTGGCCATGTGAGAGCATTTCGAGAGGGAGAGCGGACTCTCCCCACCCTCGGACGTACCAGGGCACTTGGGGGAACATAACACTTGACTTAAACTCGAGTAAAAAAATTAAGTCTTGGATTAATTATCGACAGATTTCTAGCTCACTTAACATTATCAAGGCTTAGAAGAGTCACTTATGATGAATGTAACAAAATTGGAGATTTTTTTACTAGTATAACAGGAATCAGGGTAGAAAAGCCTTGGTTAAGCCGTGTTATGACGTAAAGAGGCTTTAAAATTGTAGTAAACCAGCTGAACATGTTATTTTAAAAACTCCAATACAAACGTCTATCCAGAGACACGAAAAAAGAATTGGTAGATACTCGCTAAGACGTGTAAATCTTACCAAGTCGATCACCACTATAAAGCATTTCTTCCAACTCAGAATACGTACAGAAAATATCTGAAAAACAAAATAAAAATTTAACAAAGACTACTCATAGCTAATAAGCATTTCTTTCTACTGATACATACTGAAGTAAAAGTCAAACGACACTCACAATAACAACATAAAAGAATTTTACTCAAACTACTCTTAAGTGACGTTCGCAGAATTAAGACATCTTAGTATTTATCGCATTTGCAAAGTAAAACAGAACTAGGTCCATTTATAATATTCAAACGCATATTCTTTTGAGTTAAAAGCATAAAAATACAAAGGTTCACAAGTGCATAGGAGCTTGAGTGCTTCTTATAATAACTACGTATATTCATCAAAGCTACTTTTCAGATAATGAACAGATAATTTGTGTCAATCAAAAGTATTTCGCAACAGAACAAATGAAACCTGTTAAAGTTAATTGGTTTTCCGCGGCAGATTATCGTTTCTCTTAAAATTGTAAAAATATCGACACACGCGAATTCATTATTTACACTTAAAATTTTTTAATCTTTCTGATAAGCATTAATAGTTCTATAGGAACTTTATTACTGTCTACAAAATCTTTATTAACGAATTCGCTGAAGAGTAATACAGATAAAATTATAGGAGAAACATCGTTGTCATCGTATTGATATGAAGAAGTCGCGTAAAAGTCGTTATTACTTTTATCATCCTTCAATACTAACGCGTTCAACATTTGGTGAATCATCAATAAAATGATTTAAGTTTATCATAAACAAACCAAAATGAAACAAAAAATGGCTGGTTCACATGTTATGTAAAATCTAGATACAAAAAATGAGCACTTGATGCGTTTAACATTATCATTTTCAATAACAAAAAGGATTTTTCATAACAATTATAAGCGTTCTGGCCACTATATAAAAGTATTTCCATCATGAATTTTGTAATGGAAGATAAAAGTCATTAGTTTCTTAATTTTAGGCGAAAGCTCGTGAGTGGATTTTTAGATTCCGGTTGGCTTATCCCTATATTATACTCCTAACCAAAAATGATAGTGAATTTCAGAAGTAACTAAAATAGCGGTGCAAAAATAAATCAAAGTGTTATAATTCTCTCTTACGGTTATAACCCAGCTATTCCTATGCTTAGTATTCTTGGACACCAACTCACTCGACAAGTCCCCAAATCAGAACACGGTTGAACAGGAAAGAAATTATATTCCAAATAACAAGGTTAGATGGAAGTAAGAAGTACAATAGGAAAACCATTAGTATATTTATAGTTTTTACATGAGAAAATTTCTAGAGTATTCTCTAAGTATCGACTAGCGCTGATTGGGCAAGAATTGGGCAATCACCGTGCACCAAAGAAATCGTGCGTTGAGCATGCTTTAATCCAATCTATGTCCCGCTGACACAAAGTAATGAATTGTAGCAATTGATACACAAACTTCAGGGCCAAAGCCCACCTACATTATGGTAAAAATGACCGTCAGAATTCGATGCAATTACGAAACTAGCTGTAATCTGACAGAATGTGTGCGCGTACGTCACAGAATCGCCCACCCTAATTCCTATGACTGAATTACGTGGAATTATTAACGCATAAAATTTTAAGCGTCTAACTACATGTCTAGTGTCGGGGATAAAGATAGAAAACACCCGTTGAGATCTAAACAAGAAATCGATCCAGTGAAATCTAACTTCTTGATAAATATCTAAAATCATAGCAACTAAACTTTCAGTTTCTTAACAAGAATAACATTTTTAGTACTCTTGTCTATTTTTTTTGTTATGTTTAGCATTATTATCATTATTAGTAATAGGCATATGATTGATTATCATCCTGAGAAAAACGTATATATTTGTGATTGTGCCACTGTGATAATGAATTCACCGAAAAGAGAAGAGTTTGTTGAATGTTTTTCTATAGTCTTTTATATATTTTTTAAATGCAATGTCAATAATTTGCAGAAACGGTTAAACCTAAGTAAAATTGACCAAATATGCAAAGAATACTTTGTAAAAGATCCCAGAGACCAAATAATGAATCTGCTTACTTTTAGCAGTGTATGTAAAAGTATTGGATGAACACAAAATGTTAGGAAAGCAGCAATCGTGTGTGAAAATGAAATGAGATAGTTCAGTCAGTCATCTACAACATATAATCAGGCATATAGAAGCACCGGTCGAAGTCGCCATACCTCATTAGCACAACAAGAACACTAAATAGATAGAGGCAGTTACCTCAATGGTAGAAATATATAAAAAGATTGCATATAAGAAGTAGTCTGCATCTACCGACATGGATCAGACTAGAAGTTTGTGACGTCAAGGACCGATCCCATGTTTTGGTTTGGCCAGCTCTAACTTTCTTCCAACCATCTCCAACACGTCACTACTGCATGTCATGGTAACAGGTGATTTGACATGCATAATACGTGCCCCAACCATCTCAGTCGATGTAGATTCATAACTTTATCAAATGATTTATTATCATTCCTTAATACCTTGCGTCTAACCTCACCATTACACACCCGGTTATCCCAGCAGATGCCAGCAATATTTCTAAGACATCTGTGATCAAATAATATTAACTCACAAGTATCTTCTACTCGTAATGGCCACGTTTCGCAGCCGTGAAGTAGAACAGAACAAACTGATAGATGGATATCTCACCTTCGCCACAGGTAACGTAAGTTGGCAAAGGTCAAACTAGCCTTTCAAAAGCGTGCAGAGATTTCGTCAGACACCAAACCCATTAAGGCTGATCAGACTTCCAAGATAGGTGATGTTGTCGACGCGTTCGACTACTTCACTCCCTATCATTAGTTCAGGTGTTGACGCAGACCAGTCCTGAAGCAGCAACTTGCATCTCGAGAGGGAGAAACACATCTCAAACGTACCGACATTGTTGCTCAGTGCTATCAAAAAACTGCATTCTATCAGCGTCTTCACCAAACAGGACTATGTCATCTGCGTATTCTAAGTCAGTAAGTGGACCTCCTGGAAGGAGATCAATGTCCGAAAATTCAGTCTACGAGCAAGTTATTTCCATCAGTATGTCTAAAATGAAGTTAAACAAAAATGGAAATAGTGGACAGCTAGACCATCATTGAAAACCTGGAAATACTGGACGACCATTTCGTCCCAGTATGGGACTTGTTGAGGCTAATGTCCTCAATATCTGACTCTAATAAATAATATCTCGTTAACTGAGTATTTAATGCAGGCTAAATCTCCTGGTAGAATTATGGATTTTACGCGAGATTATTCAAAAGCCTGAACACCAGTTGTAGAGATAATTTATTGTTGATAAAAATCCGCAAGTGTACAGCGAGCAAGCACACGATGAAACAAAGTAGAAATGATGCGCAGTGCAGATGGCTGGTAATCCAACTCCATTTTAGTCAAGCGTTACTCAATATTTATATTCAGACAAAATAAAGCTACAGACATGCAATGAGTCATGGGATATGAAGTGTACACACATATACGCTCATATAAAAACAGTCAAGGCTAATAAGCGAATAACTGACAAGGTCAAAATATGACTCAAGTAGAATGAACAGAATGGAATGTCCGGAAGCTAGAATAAGATATATGGGCTTAGAATAATGACTGGCACTACAGACACCTCTCGAAGCCGGGTAAAAGAGAGTTAAGTGAAGGATTAGCAGCCCGACTACAAAAACGCGAAGCAGGAAAGGCCAGTTACCCTATGTAGACTGTACCCTGGGAGTAGAATGGGGAACCACGACAACAATCAATATCAGTACATGGAATGTCCGAACAATATGGGGGGTGGTGATGCTCCTTCAGACAACAGCAAAAATGGAGAGGTGCAATCTGATTCCATTAGAAATACGCGAAACACATTGGAAACAATCAGGGGTTGCACTGACCTTTTCCAAGGAAACACAAAAAGCCCCAATAAGTTGGAAAATTTATAGGTCTCGGATTATCGAGGCACCCGACAAGCGGAAATATGTGGAAGACCTGACAATCACAGCAAAATAAGCTAAAGGAGAAGGAATAATGAGAGGATTGTATGATGCAATCAAGTTAAGAGGGAAAGATAGTAAACCAGAACGACTAGTTATGAACAAAAAAAGAAAATCAATCAGTGTGGAGTAAGAGCAGTTGAACAGCTGGATAGAGTACTTTGAAGAGCTCTTGAATAGAACATCCCAACTGAACCAATCGGACATAGAAGTAGCACACATAGACCTTCATATAAATAATACCCCACCAACAATAAAAATTAGCAAAACTGTAACTAATAATGTCTTTTAGTCTTCATCTATGGTTCTTACTAATTTTTTCATCAACTATCAGACATCTGCACGACCTAATTTTAACACTCGAAAATGCTGAGCACTTTATTACGCAACCACACTCTATTTTTCAATGAACTTCTGTATGTCAAATAATTATGAGATTGTAAAGGTTCAACGAATTATAAGATTGAAAAGAGAAGTTTATTGCTTGATGATATTTTATTTTATTATAGATAGGTGAGGGGCGATTTCGTCTTGATAGATAAACTTAATTTTCCTATAAATTCATAACGATGAAAGTATTAGTTATGTAAGCTGATTAAATTTATTAAGAAAACGAGTTGTTAGAGAAAAACACACCAACAGTAAATAAAAATATTAGAGAGAATTAATTGTTCACATGATTCCAACACAGATAGATAAAAGATGAACCTTGAAAAAAATGTATCACATGAACAGACATTTTTAAAGCCACATATACATGAGTCAAGAAGAAATACCTGTTTAAAGAGAATTTACCGCAAGCTAGTAACGGTTGAAAATCAGTCGGTTATAATCAACACTAACAACTTTTAATTAATCAAAATTCCCATACCACATCAGCAGAGCGAAATGAAATCAACAAGAAGAATACCAGAAGAGTCTAAATAATAATAGTATCAACCGAAGTTGGAAATATTAATCACTGAGCAATGCTATTCGAAAAGGAGGGATGAATTTGTAGACAGAAAGTACAAAATAATATTAAAGTACAAGACTTAGGGGAAGATAAGGAGCGCATCTTCAGAACTATGAACAGTTCCAGCCCATTTCACCCAACATCTCCAACCACTGATTATAATTACTGCTACTGAGTGAAACAGTAAAGATTACAGAACGCTGAGGTTAACTGTCTTATTTCAAGAATTTTTAGGTATTACATTGTGCATTCAGACCGCGTAAAAACCCATTATTATAAAAACCAATAGTTATGAAACCTTAGTTGATTTTTCGTCACAAATAAATATATGTACTGAAAAATGATTAGAAAAATCACTCACTTTCTGACTGCAACCAATCAATAAGTGTACCAGCATGTGGATAGAAACCTTCAACTAAATAAGTAAGATCACCCAGATGAAAAGATCTAGATGTAGATGGTACAGATGATGGAGATTCCGAAGAACTGCTAGTAGAACCCATATAAAAAGTCGAAATACAGTCAAAATACGGGTGACCAGATGCCCATCCAATAACAGGATAAAAGCCTACAGAATAAATAAAATGTGACAGATAGGTACAGTACAACTTCATATTATTCGACCCACAATACTAGACTTTAGCTGTCGGTTAAATACAGAAATCTTGCAATGAAATATAGTGCTGCTGAAGTCATATAACCGAGTCAGCAAATAAACCGACCAACATCCTCACCTTAAATTGAAATTCTGTAGGAGATTAGTTTACCAAGTTGGGTCCCACTACCGTAAAGAACTAGAGATGGATAAACTAAAGTGATGCAGATAAAGCTCGATAAACGTACTGAACAAATATTAGACATTTCCTAGAAGGCTGATGAAATTTAAACACGGTTTCATGAATGGGTTGACACTTAAAATACTGTATACTCCATTTATTTGACACAGATTAATGATCGAAGCATTTTAAACACATATTAGTTAAATTAAGTAAAAACAACTCACGTATACCTCATAAACTATATTACAGAAGTACCCAGATGTCTGATGGAACTACCAAATTACCCTTGCAACTGTTAGGTTTCCAACAATACGGAGAGTAAGATTGGTGGTCAAAGCACTAGGCTTTTCACATTGAATTTGGATATTTCTCCATCTACTATGAGTAACGGGATAATTTCCAAAGCCATTACATCATGAGTATGATTTAATGTTGAATATACGAAGCAGTACTGGAAAATTGAATTAACTTACTTCACATGGCTGGAGCACGTTTCAGTACACTACCTGTCTTGTAAGGTTGAGTGACAGGTAGAAAAATAAATTGTTTAAGATGAACTAAAGCACGACACCAACCATAAATTAATAATCTAGTTACGCTTGTAAATGTAAATCTTTTCTAATGCTCAACTTGAGTTAGTCACAATAAACGTCTAAAATGTTAACAGTAGAGACTTATTATATCCCAAAAACTAGTGCTCGTTATTTAAATCCCATTATATCAACTTGTCCAGTACTAAAAACTATACAGAACAAGTTTATGAATAATAATGATAGTTTATCCTGCTGAGAACAAATTAGAAAGGCCTGATAAAATCATTTAAGACATACTATGTCATTATTCATTTGATTTGTTATCACACATTTGAAGTTATTATCCACAAATACATATATGTTTATTCATTTATTTATTTGGACACATGAATATTGGTACAAGAGAGCGCCAATATATATGCGCCACACAAAACAATGAAAATTCGAGAGGAATACAAAGAAAAAAAAGCTAAGGAGCGCAACAAAAAAAGAGAGAACAATAACGAAGAGATTGGTGTAAGGTAATGTGCTAGTAATCAGGGAACGCAAAGGTACAATCGGAAGAAATCCTTCAGGTAAGGGAGACAGAACCACTTTTTATGAAGAAAGTAAAAGAAGGTTACAGCAGGATCGCCACTGGCTTCTATTCTGAGCCATATCTGATAACGTCTCTAGCCACTGTGTAGCACCATCTCTCAGACCCCAACCAGGGAGTCGTGAAGGACCAACACAAGCCAGTCCTTTGCAGCTTTCTTTCATGTCACGACACCATGTCATGCACTGACCACCTCTCCGCTTCTTCCAACCAGTACCAGAGTCGGCAAATAATGCACGACGTGGAATCCTCTGGGACGACATTCGGAGAACATGTCCAAGCCACCGAAGTCGGTGTTTCAAGATGGTGACACCAATTGAATTATCATCTCTGTGCCCGAACACACGATGCCGAACCTCTGCATTACTGACATGGTGTTGCCACTGAATGTCAGCAATCCTTCGGAGACAGCGATGATCGAACACAGAGAGTCGTCTAACGTCCTCAACTCGGAGAGGCCAGGTTTCACAAGCATAGAGCAAAACTGCTCTCACCGACGCGTTGTAGATCCGACCTTTTACGGCCAGACTAACATCACGAAGGCGCCAAAGATGGCCCAGATTGGCATAAGCCGCTCTGGCTTTCACTATTCGTGCATTGATCTCATCACTCACAACCCCACGAGCACTTATGCAGCTACCCAGATACACGAACTTCTCAACTACGTCTATCTGCTCACCATCCAGGGTGAGTACAGGATTGGAATCCTTCCAGTCTTGTAGAAGTACTTTGCACTTCGAAGGTGCAAAGCACATACCATACCTACGGACACTGATTGCCAACTGATTAAGTGCGGATTGCATGCCTTGGGCATTATCGCACAGTAAGACAATATCGTCCGCATACTCAAGGTCGAGAAGTCTTTCTCCAGGCAACAGATCCACACCACCATTACTTACATTCATCAGAGCTGTTTCCAGAATGTCGTCGATGGCAAAGTTGAAGAGGAATGGTGAGATTGGGCAACCCTGCCTAACCCCACTACTCGAATGGAACAATGGAGAGAGGTGGTTGTATGCCCTCACTCTGCCTGAGGTGTTTTTATATAGGGCTTTTAGGATGTTAATAAACTTCTCAGGCACACCCTTCTTCAATAGACAATCCCAGAGAACAGTTCTGTCCAACGAATCGAAGGCAGCCCTGATGTCAAGAAACACTACGATTGTTGGCCTTTGATAAGTATGGCGGTGTTCTAACATTTGGCGGAGGGTGAAGATATGATCAATACATCCTCGACCAGAACGAAACCCAGCCTGCTCCTCGCGAGTCAATCTTTCTCGGGTTTTGAACAACCTACGAAGTATGACGGAAGCCAATAGCTTGGACGCAATCGGAAGTAAACTTATCCCCCGATAGTTGTTACAGGAACGACGTGAACCCTTTTTAAAGATAGGGACAACTATCGACTCATTCCATGACGTTGGCACACTCTCTAGTTCCCAAACCTTTGTAAACAACGTCGTCAATTCCTTAGTCAAAAAGTCACCACCATCTTTAAAAAGAGCCGGAGGTAAGTCATCTGGGCCAGGTGATTTGTAACGCTTCAAGAGTTGGAGTTCCTTGCGGACTTCCTCCTCGTTTGGTGGATCAGTCGTCACCGGCCATATATGTCCTAGGTTGTTGATAGCTTAAGTACTTACAGTATGACAATAATGGATAAGCAGAAACAGTACTAACGTGATATTATGCGTACCATTCATTACGGCTAGAGCTTTAGAACCAGAAAGTAAATTTAAAAATATCCCAGTGCCTAATGTAAGCTTAGCTTGACAAGGAGATAAACAATTTTCTGTTAAGGTGGCAGCTTGAGCATCACCAATGATACCAGTGATTGGAATAGACAAAGAAGGATTTGATGAATACCCCAGTGGACCATTTTGAACAGTGCCATAATAATAACTGAAAAATAAGAACACATGTGGTTATATGATAAGAAATAGGGAGTGATAATTAGCTTTTAAAAATTATAGTTAATTGTGAGTGAATTATCAATGACAGTTTCCGAATCACCTATGAAGTCCTTCCACTAAATCCAGTAAGCTACGAGAATGACAATTATTACAAACGTTTATTTGCCGGCCAACCATTATTGACAGACAAAACAAATGAGTTAGACAAAATGAACAGCTTAGTGTTATTATGACCCATCTACTCCGATTGCTTAGCATTCTCGGACCCCAACTCGTTCAACAAGTCCCTAAGTCAGAACACGGTTGAACAGAAACGAAACCATGTTCCAAATAACCAAGGTAGATGGAAGTAGGAATCGCAATAAGAAAAACGTTAGTATATTTATAGTTTTTACATGAGAAGATTCTATAGTCTTCTCCAGGTATCGGTGATTGGATAAGAAACAGTCAATCAGAGTGCACCAACACAATCCTGCAAGGAACGTGCTTTAATCCAATCTATATTCCGCTAAAACTTAGAGATGACTAATTTTATACAGCCGGATAGGCAAGACAATAAAAACAACGATTATGAGCATACAAAACTATTTGAATAATTTTCAAAGGTGAAAATCTTCATATAACATTATTTTTCAAAACCAGTTCAAATCTAATTTTTTCGATATATCGTTAAACTAAATGTAGTAGTGATTTGATGGTTAAAGTACTAGACCCATACCAATGGAGTAATATGCTTCCGGATCTCGAAGGGATGAATGGTGGATGGAACTATTTGGTCACCGCTTACTAAAGGATTGCATCTCCTGAAGTTGATATATTGTCGTGTGGATTGGACCCTCAGGTCAAAGTCTCAGGGAGTTGTCGTTTACAAAAAAAACTACTTCGGTCTGGCCTAGCCCATAAAAAATATGCTGAATTATAAAGAAATTGTGGCAAAACCATGTTGATAACAATGAGTGTATTCGCTCCCAATGACGATAATTCGGTTAGTGAGACAATCTTGAAACACCCACTTCAGTGGCTTGCAAAGAAAAACTAGCAAAATTATTCCTGCAAGTCAAACTTTTTATTCCCCTCAAATTTTTGTGGAATATGAATATATGTAACGAAATTATTTTAAAGAACTGTTAGTGAATAAAGTTGACATGATACGAAAAGACTTGTTAGAGGATGATGATTCAAGTGGCCTTGTTTTAGCTTCATAAACAAAAATGGCGCAGTTTTCATTACTGTGCTACAAAAAACAAACCGGTGCATTGAATGTAAGTGGGGATGCCCAATGCAGCTTAACAATGGTGGTGGCATATTCTTGATCGAATTAATTAATAAAAAAAATCAAATCCAAAAAAGTAACCTACGTAAAAGTAAAGAAACTAGAAAAACAATTTTAACAGCAATCTTCTGCGAACCAACAGTATTCAGTTCGAAAAATATAATACTTTGATCAACTATTATTTTGAGATTAGTGATATAAATCCCAAAATATTAGGAGATTGTGTGTGAAGCTTGGGGTAGAAAATGATTGAGGAAAGTGAGAATTTCAGCTGTTGGTTACTATGTAGATCGAGTCACATAAAGGTAGTGTCGTACATATATGTGAAATTCTGTTGCGTCATTAGCTGACTACATTGGTGTCTTTTTACATAAAACTAACTGACGAGATTTCAACGAGTATTTTTCTAAAAACAATAGCTGAATAGTACACTCACCTGGAAGGATACACACCAGGAAGAATATTGGCAGGTATTCCTAAACTAGCCAAAATCGGACGGCTCCATTTACACTAAAACAGCACAGTATACAAAAGAATCAACATGACATAACACTAAGTACTTGAGTAAGTAAACGAAGTGAAATAACCTCTATGTTTTGACTGCAGTAAAATAAAGTGATAACTCAGAAAAGTGAAGCTCGTGTTAGATAGTAGTGTAGTGAACAACAACTCAGATGGGGAAGACCAATTTATTGTTTAATGCAAAATTACAGTGTATTCGTAAAATATGAAAACCATACACTAAATACATCATTCACCTCTTACAAACCTTATCGTTCCTTCATTCCAACTGTTATTACAATTACTCTCTGTTTACATTTCTTTTCTCTCCAATTCGATATTCTCAACCTTCTGCTGCCAGACATCCCACCTCTGATCAGTGTCACCTACTATTTATGTCTATCAACACAAGTAGCCTACACCACAGCAGCACCATTTCTTGTATAAAATGGTGAGGGATATCATCATTCAGTGACCTGGGAAAACTAAATTTAACCATCTGGGGGAATGTTAAAGTATGACTTCAGCTGCAGTATGTTGAGTTGTATGAAATTATTTTACATGCAGCAAGTAGCAAACTAGCGCATTACTTAATGTACAAAAACTAAGTCATAATAATTAATGACTTTATTGTCTTTAGCTGTTGGAAATCTGCCACTGATGTAACCTATCTACAAAGCAAAATCTTGATAGCTCAACGTTCAGCATCTTGGTTATTGGTTGACAATCAAACATTATAAATGCCCTCCATCAAAAGGAATTGTTTAGAGCCTAGAGGACCAGTCTTACAAAATTAGCTTTAGAAGTCGTTGAATTGTGGCAATTTCCTTTGTTTACTAATCAACTAGTAAATGCACACCTCAATGGTCGTGACCTCATTATATAGTTGATCTAATTATTTATTATGGAAAGCCATAAGTTAAGAAACCGTTAACTATGTGTCTACGATGTGTTTCTAAATGACTGAAGAATTTTTACAATGTTTTTCATTATATGACAAAGTCCAGTACACTGAAGTCGAAAATAAAGCTCTCAACTACAATACATGACTGAAAATACATCGTAACTTACAGAAAAGGAATCATACATGCCAGTAACACTTGCACAGCTAACATCCGTAGCAAATGTTTTGCCACCTGTGAGCCGCCATAGCAACCATGTCTCCAAACAACCATAGCAAAGTAACCCCTTACGACACTCATCAATAAGCTATAGAGAAATGAAAGGATATAAAATAAATTAGCATATATATAACATACCCTTCCATTTATAAAAAAATTGGATGTACTAGTAGTAATCAGAATATCTATTACAAGTATTTTTGGTATCATTTGGGGCGGACTTGAACTAAGGTGGATACATGATTTAAAACTCTTGATTATTTGTTCTCTAATTTAACACCTGCAACCTTAATGCCAGCTTTTGAGGCAGTAAGAGTAACACAAAACACTGACCCATAAATTTATTGAATTATTTGACTTGTAGTAGATGTGACTTGGTCATTAAGGTGTTCGGCTTTCAGTCACCGGGTACTGGGTTCAAACCGCACTCAACCTACTTCAATTTGGACTACTAGGTAGCATCACCGGCGTACGGCTTATACACAAGCACATGGTGAATGGATCAAATTTACTTTTTAACAGATTTCTTAGGGCTTGTAAAGCTCTGGACATTACGATTTGCAAACTTCACTAAGACTTATTACAACAAAATAGGACAATTACTTTTCACATTGCTTTAAACCATAATCACTCGATTACATTGCATCTATTCGTTTTTTATTTACTTATGTTCATTAGGGTATTTTAATACACGTTTTTATTCTTTTCGGGTGCCCGAAAAAGTTGATTCCACGGTAGTTAGGGTTTAATCTAACTACCTTACTCGTTATTTCAATACGTCTAAGCAAGGAACCAGTTAATGATTTACAATGCAATCTAAAGTTTGCAAATGTAGGATTGACAAAAATTGGTATATATAAAAATAACACAATAATCAGAAGGAATAGATAAGTAATAAATACTGTGTTATCAAATAGCCACAAAGATGGATGATATATATAGGAGCTGTATTATGAAGTGAATTTTAAGTAGTTAGTAACCATTTAATATTTGTATAAACGGTAAACAGGAGTAATAAAATTCACATATGAAGGATATTTACACCTACCAAATTTTCGGTAAAACAGGCTAATGAAAAAAAAAAACTAAAATGAGAAAGCTAAGGTACTTAACCCATTACTAATTCAATACTGACGAATTACAACCGAAGTATATGTGATGCGCGGGCTACGAATATTATTCACTTTCATGCAACAAAATAGGTGATATGTATTTCGATTTGCTATTCGCCTACAAGAACAAAAGAAAGTAGGTTCATTCTCACTGGATACTGACCGCATTAGTGGCCAAGATGGTTTAAAACCAGAATCAATAGGAATTCAAGACGTGCTAAAAGCACTTTCATTTTACATATCTAACTTTATGGGGTATACAGAGTGCTTGGAACTTCAGAGATATGAGTCGATATCAACCACGTACGAAATCGCAACAATGTACATTGAGCTGATACATTTTTCTAATTGGTCTGTTGACGTTTGAAATCTCCATATTGATTAAACTGTTTCTGTAGTATTAGTGGTAGTCATTTTCACTACAATGTAAACAGTACTAGTCCAGATGATTTATTTCTACTCATCTCCGGAAGCATTGTCTGACTGACAACTATCTCTTTTGCAGCCTCTTATAATAATTATAATTTTCTACCGCGGCTAACTGAAAATAGTGAGTGGTTAGTTCACAGACTTGTGGTGTGAATCACAGTTAGTCTTAAATTGAAATCTGTTGGTGAAACCAGACTCTAAAGACGAAGTCACCAGATCGCCAAGTAAATGGTTTGAAAACTAGTACACAACAGAGAATCAAGACTAAAATGATATCAGTTAGGATTTTGTTGTTTAACTTTCCATGCATGGAAAATTTGCCACGGTCTACACTAATGTGGCTGTTTTTACGCTCAGATAATCCCTACTGCCTTACTTTTTCTCTCTATAATCGTATGATATCATAGAACTGTTTGGAGCACATTGTTTGATGCTGATGGTACGTCAAGATTTTGTCTAAATAAGTACTTAGTGGTAATAATACTACGATACATTTCTTTAAGACCTGAATTCTTTAATATTTCCACAAATCTCCTGACGTCGCTAGATTGTTGTATGGACCAGACCTTCAGGTCAAAGGGTTGGGGAGTTGTCATTTACAAAAATCAACTGCCTCGGTCTGGGAATTCAGCTAGTATTCGAGACCACACACAAATGTACTGAATAGTTATACAGAAAATGTTATGCTTTCTTTGCCTCATTATCTATACGAACGATATTTGCAGTCTAACAATAAACTTCGAACACACAAATAAACAAAATGAGAAACCAACGTAAACCGCAGACCACTTGTTGCTGCAAGGTGTTCTACCAACCAATATGGACTAAATACAAGGGAATGATATTGTTGTGCATTTTTCAAATATTATTTACTCCTTAACCGCAGCTTAGATAATAATGAATGATTTTTCAGACGTTAAATATACGTCATTTAATTAATATAGTAATCCGAACTTTAGTTTATGTATAACATTAAGGTAGTCGAAAAAAATTCACACCACTTTTGACTTTTATGTAGTTCTTAGTTAAATGGCTGTATTTCCAATATACTCTATAAGTAGAGACACAAAACTAGAAGCTTTCCAAACGGTAGCACTTGACATGTACTACAGGTTGAAAATTTACTGATTCTGACAGATGTTAGATTCATCTTAATCCGACCACGATTCTCGCAAAATGGCTTATATAGTAACATCACGAAGTTTATCTGGAACGCTAGTAATGATATACTCCCCTCACTCATGATTTTACGATCAGGAATCAAAAACAAGTTTGAATGATGATTTTGAATTTTAACAAGTTTCATAGTGTGAAATGTCAGGTCACCGAAAGTCTATGGATCAAAAAAATCTTTAGCGAATATAGTATTAATTATATCAGTATGTCGTGTTAAAACATGTATCTTATCATTGATATTACGAATGTAGTAACACATTTTCACAATACAAAGGCATCAGAAATAGGATTTTAGTCATTTAAGAACCGACCACAAGAACTAGTAAATATACCTTTGGTTTCTCATTTAATAAATATTTGAGACGTATACATGCTAATACTGTCTTGAAGTGGTACGACGCCAACGCTTTAAACCTTGATTGATGTGTCATCCAATATAACATATGGCCAGCAGTTTTCATACTCTACAAAGCGATGGAATTAGCAAGAAATAAGTGAATAGTATGAAAAATGTAGTAAAAGCATCTAAAAATTATCCCGTCCACATTATTTTGTCAGTTATTTTACTGGATGCAGTTAGTTTATCAACCTCTAAGGTGTCGATGTAGTTATAGTTTTGTTATGACAGTAAATTCATCATATTCAACATAGCAGAACCAAAATCTATTGAAATTGAGTGATCTATGTCCTAGTTATTCGACAACTTGCTTTAGTCGTCTAACTGACTCAATACTGCCAAGAACTGATTGGCTCACTTAAGTCTAAACTTGATTAGGACACCATTTACCTATTGATCCCAAGGAACATTCACAACAATCCGAGGGTATTACAGATTAGACATTAAAATTTCAGATATTAATAGCATTATTTACTTTATTCAGGGCGCTGAGACAGAGTGCAATACTATGGAGAAACCTGTGATCCCGGAATCGCTGAAATGAATGTGTTAATCACCTCATCTAACTGAAATCACTCAGGTCAAGTACGCCAACAATACAACTCAATGACGCTAATAAATATCAGGTTTACTGAAATCCGAATAGGTGTACCTAAAACATTTTCGTATGTGGTACTTATCTTTCTTAGAGTACAGATTAACAAGCATGTGAGAATCCGCCCATTAGGAGTAAAGAAATGATATATGAGAAAGAAACCAAGCATTTAAAACTACGACTACACAGTTCAAAAAAAGTTAAACACACTTTGATATGGGTTTCTAACAGTGACAACAATAAAGTAATTTACATTTGTTTCCCCATAATACGCAGGTTTCACTCATTAGTAATGAGTATACAGTGCTTACATAATAAATATTACCGTTATGGGTGTGAAGTCCCCAAATACAACTTGTGGGAAAGGAATTGCGATTGTATTATGATATTCAGTGTGAACTCTGTACATGGATATACAATACACTTTTACCATGATTGTATTTAGTGACAAATAATTTCATAAATTATTTTTCAATTGTTTCGGGGACATCATCAACAAAGCTCCCACTACTAATCTAGCTCTTTTTTACTCAAGTTATCGGGGTAGGGAAGACGATAGTAGTCTCGTTTATCGTATTGGGATCAGAGTTGTGAAATATAAGTATAGCGCACAGACGTATTAATTGCTCAATCTATTTTTGAAGGGGCTGGTTTGACAGCTAAGAGGACTGATTTTCAATTATTAGGTCACAAATCGAAACGCAGCACCACTTCAGTTTGAGTGATCAAGTTCTCTCTAGTTTTTATACAGTAGTTCAAAAGTAAGTGCACAGATTTGTACTTGATATGAGTTTCTTGGTACGTAAGACATGTTAAAAACGCAGCAACGGAATATTACTTTCGGAGGTAAATGTGAAGTACCTGTACAATCAAACTAAATTCTGAAAGCTATGAATAACTTATAACACTCTTAAGGTAAAATCAAACTTTGCTAAGTGAATGAGAATCGCTTTTTTAGAATAAGAGTGCTAAAAATAACACTGCTCGTTGATTATAAATGAGAAGTACGAACCAATCCTGGCAAAATCACCTACTAGTTGTAAACAGTTAGCCATGATAACATTAATTTAGCAATATTAGGGCGAATAAAACGGTTTAGATCGGTGACTTAACAGCTAAACTAGTACATATTGCTAATGGTGACTTAAGCCACTGGCACTAACGGATAAGCATACGGAATAAATTACAACTTACACGAAAGATAAAAGAGTGATTTAACTTTTTGGCGAGATCCAAAGAACGTGTATCTAGCCACGTGATAACACGAGTTCGAGGATTTGATGTCTTCCTGTCAAACTACTCATACTTAGAAATAATATCTTACTTATCCCACAACAATAGGCTATTTCGCTGAACCGAAATACCTATACAATTGATCCGATCAGGGTTAATTGCTGCATCTACATGATTATCCACAAAAGCATTGGTGTTACCTTGTAATACTTCATCTAACAGCTTGCAAAAGGATTCCCATACAGCTTCTGGATCCAATTCGCAAGCACCATCAGACCCTTCAAGCCGAGGTACCTGGAAGAAAAAAATATTTGTAACATTATTTTTCAGGGTGTAGCTGTCTGTTTACACTTATCTAAATATTATTTCAAAAGACAAAATCGAAAAGTATATTATGCAGAAAGAGTAAATGCGAAGGCTAGTTAAAAATCAAGCTATCTCAAATGAACTGGTTCGAATAGGTCCCGAGCTAACCCCATGTTTGCTGAAAATCAAGGGGGGGGGGGTAACTAGTAATCAAAAATGCTTAAGCAGGGAATAGAAGTGCCTGAATTATTATCTAGAAATAATATATACAATTATTGGCTTGGTAAAATGCTAAATTATAATGCAAATGATACAAATGTTGGTGAATAATTAGCTTGACAATTTTAATTTAAACCATAGATCACATCAGAGGCACCTTTTAACTCAGATAGAACGAAACAGTAGTATCGTAGGCGCTTACAGCAGATCCAGTTCACAGTCTAATAAGCGAATTTCTAGGACCGTGTAATATACCTTAAGTCAGTCAGTAACAACGTAGAACTTCGTACGTACGTACATTAGTTCGAGTCGCCATACCACATTAGCACAGAGATGCAGTTGTCGATTCAGATCCCGTAGTGGTAGAGGTAGTAATTGTATAAGCAGTAATCAGAAAGATTAGGGTTTGAAGATGTTATTCAAGGGGTATAATGCAGTGAAATAAATTTGGAAAGAGAAAAGAAGGGACATGAAGAATTCGAGAGATTACAATTTGAGAGAACACAAAGATTGGATGCACCTGCGCTATTGCAAACGATTTTGAGCCATGTCATTCAAGGTCTCTGACCATCGGTTGTTATCCTCTCGCGGATCCCAACCAGGTAGTCTACACCTACCAACATGACTTAGTTCACTTGTCAGTGACTTCATGGGTTTGTGCCACGTTTTGGTCTGGTCGTTCCTAGCTTTCTTCCAACTTACTCCTACACCATCAAAAATCGCACGTCGGGGCAGTCGATGGTTGGGCATACATAACACATGTTCCAGCTATCTCAACTGATGAAGTTTCACTACTCCATCAATTGATTTGCCATCCTTACCCAATGCCCGTTTCCTAACGACGGCATGAGTTACTCGGTGGTCCCAAGATATACGAGCAATGCTTCGAAGACACCTATGATCGAATATTAGTAACCTACAAATATCCTCTACTCTTACCGGCCATGTTTCACTGCCACAAAGTGGGACAGAACGAACTGCTGTGCAGTAAACACGTCCTTTGATTGGTAGATGGATATCTCGCTAACGCCATAAATGACAGAAGTTGGCAAAAGCTAGTCGAGCCTTCTGTATCTGTGCTGAGATTTCGTCACACACCAGACCACAAGGGCTGATGAGACTCGCAAGTTAAATGAAGCGGTCGACACACTTAACTACTTCACTCCCTATGATTAGTTCGGGTGTCGATACAACCCAACCCAGAAGTGCAAAATGGTGCTTCAGACCTTAAATGGTTGTTTACTTCATAAGTCGAATGAACTATTTGTCCGTAAAATCTTCCAAGGACAACAAAATGATCTCAGACACCATTTATTTTTAGTTCGACAGATTCTTAAGAAAATCCATTTATACTATCACGTCGAATAAGGTGTTATGTTGAACATACTGTGGAATTACCTCAAGGCATTTGAACCCGATTCCTGTTTTCGGGACAGGAATTTTTGATACGTACAATCGAACTACGATTGGAATTCATGATAAAATAAAGTGGCCGGATATCAAAAACGTCGGACGCATTTCTTAAAACCTAGTGACGTTGATGTTTGAGAACTTGCTGAGCGTATGGGATACCAACTGCATCCATTTTAATGTGTTCCTGCAGCCAATCCGTGGTTCCATGAAGTCCTATTTGAGTGTCTAAAATGGTTAGCCACTAACTAGTAGGTTCTCATGTAGAACTCTGTTTCACCTTATTCGATTTAGGAAGTCAGGTACTATACCGAATTTGTGGTTTCAAGTCGAGCATGTAAACGTACGCCTGGCGAGAAACTTTATCGTTACTGGAAACTGATGTGAAAGATCTCGGTTAAACTAACCCGGTATGATGGAAGATTCAAATAGACAGTTTGATAATGCGCAAATTACGAAGTCATAGAACAAAACCACCAGACCCAGCTTCATAAATTGTTAAGTATGGAAATGAAATAGACGGAAAAACGTTTTGACACCAATTTTATGTGACTCACTTTGGTGCTGCTACATCCGATGACCTTAAGATCCATAGTGTAGACCCTGGCGCATGCATGAGTGCTTCCGAAATCAACACCCAGTATGAATTTTGAAACCGTTCGCTGTGAATCAATTTCAACGCAATAAGTCAAAAAGCAAGAAACATAAATGTCGAATTTATATTTGAAAAAAAACTTCTAAGGCATACATTTAAGTATTTTACATATCTTAATGGTCATGTTTGGGACTAGAAATGGCTATCGCTTTTGCAAGCTCCCTGACCTTGGCGTCCTGAATCTCAACTACCGTCATGAGCTCATTAACCCGACTAGTTAGCTGATCCAGTGTTTGTTGTATGCAATCATCCTTATTATGTTCTTTCCTTACTTGCCGGCGATATTCAAGCAGAAGGCAAGTGGCCCCAACCACAAAAATGATAATTTCCCCGAGCACTTCTGACCCAAGGTCAACGGCAGCATCTTCACTCAACTTGTTAACCTCCTTTGGTAATTCCAGACCCAATAATTTTAATTTTAGTCGGGTTTCCCACAAATGATATACTATTAATAATAAACTATTTTAGAGAACTTACATTGCGCTGGAGGCAGGCACACATAGTTCCTGAAAAATGTATTTGTTTTGGCCTTGCGCTTCAGGTAGTTGGCCAGGGGCTTTCCTATTTGTTTTATAGCCAATGCTCCCAATTTAAATACCGGGAAAGCCCCAACCATATGGTTTTAGTTGCAAAGTGCGCCTTTATTGGTTACTCATGAAACCTGTGAATGTACAATCCTCCAAACTTTTATTTCATCTAAGTAACCAGTACATCAAGAATATTTCATATTATTTAAGTGTATTATTGATTTTTTGACAAAGAGTAGTGTATATTCCTTATCGATAGTTCATAAACCTGAAGTACTAAACAACTAACTATTATCAGTTTCAGTTTGGAAAGGACAGGAGGCTTGATGACCTGTGTTAGTCCTGGCACTGGTGGTCTCTCAGTTGATCGAACTTTCTTTTGAAAGAGTTGGCGGATGGAGCCTCAACCACGTGCTGAGGTAATGAATTCCACTCGTTGATAATTCGATGGGAAAGTCGATAGTCAGCTGACAGGTAATTTGTTCTGGGCTTGTGAACTTTTTGGAGCGTCCTCGTAAATTCTCTGTTTTGGAAGAAAAGAAAAATGAGGGCATATCGGTTGCGAATTTATCACTAAGCAAATTGAAAACTGTAATCAAGTCGCCTCTAGTTTTTCGATATGACAACGAGAATAGGTTTAGTTTGGCCAGTCGAGATTCATACGGAAGCTTCGCTATTCCGGGAATCAGATTAGTTGCTGTTCTCTTAACCTTTTCCAGGAACTCACGGTCTTCTTTAAGCAGAGGCTAGCCACTTGTATCCAGTACTCAAGTTTTGGACGTACGAACACTGTATACAAAGTCAAGAACGTTTTAGCGTCGACATGACTAAATGCCCTACGTATTGACGATAAGGTTCTAAAACTTTTGGCGGCTATCGCACAGCACTGTGCAGTAGTCTTTAGGTCTTGGCTGATGATGACTACTAAGTCATAATGTGGCTGCACGACAAGTAGCTCAGTGTTATTCATCATGTATGTATCTGTACCTTGATGACCGATATGCATCACAGCACACTTGGAAGTATTTATCGGCAACTGCCAGGTTTGAGACCATTCAGATAATTTCCTCAGGTCATTTCGAAGTTCTAAGCTATCACCCTTACATTGTATCGTTTTCCATATCTCGACATCGTCAGCATATAGCAAGACCGATGATGATAGGAGACAAGGAAGGTCATTTACATACAAGAGGAATAGCACTGGCCCCAAAACTGTACCCTGGGGCACTCCACTAAGCACAGTTTCCCAGCTAGATAACTTTGAGTTCACCCTTACTCTTTGTTGACGCCCAACTAGGAAGTCTTTTATCCACATCAATAAATTGCCTCCAATCCCGACTTTTCTTAACTTATATAATAGCCGGTGTGTGGAACTTTGTCAAAAGCTTTACTGAAATCAATGAAGGCGACGTCTACAGGTAGCTTTTGGTCCTTAAGAGCGCACCAGCTTTCACGAGCCACTAATAAGTTAGTGAGACAGTAATAAACTATCCTGAAACCGTGCTGCTTCTCCGAAAGGATCCGGTTTTCATCGAAATACTTAAACTGCTCCTTCTGAATAATCTTTTCTAAGATTTTAACAACCACACTAGTTAGGCTAACGGGGTGGTAATTCTCAGGTTTATGCGTCGTACTTGTTTTGAGACAGGACTTACTATGGCGTTCTTCCAGTCTTTTGGTAAACGACCCTGCGTTACGAATAGATTAAAACATATACCTAAAGGTTTCGCAACGAAGTTAAATAATTCCTTCAGTAGCCTAGGATGCAATTCATCGGGCCCCGTGGATTTACCTATGTCAACCTTATTTAGCAGACCAAGGACATCGAGTTCTTTAATGATCACGCTGTCCAGTGCATGTGTGGGGGGATTTGTATGCGCTGATGGGAAGGGTGCTTCTACGGTATATACATTGCTAAAGTAGTTCGAGTACACTTGTGCCTTACCAAAGTCGTCCTCCACTAATGATGAGGCAGTACTGTCTCCCCATAGTGCAGGAATATTTCCTCTTCTTTTTGTCCTTTGGTTTATATAAGAATACAAGCGTTTAGGACATTCTATTGATTCTTTAACAATCTTTTCTTCGTACAACTTTCTAGACTTACGGAGGGTCGAGGCACAGGTATTCCGAGCTTTTCGATACTGAGATTTTGTCTCATTAGTCCCCAGTAGCCAAAATCTATCCCACACTTTTCTTCTCTTACGGAGAAGGATGCGGACCTCCCTACTGAACCATGGTGGAGAGTTTCTTGACTCCCTTGGTACAGTGTAAGGGATGTGGAGTGCAGTAACTTTTAAGTATAAATTTCGGAATGCGTCCCAAGCCGTTTCAATTGAGGACTCCGGGTCTATTGTCCAATCTACTGACGATGCTGAGTACATGATATCTAGTATGTTTGCTTTCCAGACGTTGGGTCTGGACTGGACTGACGCGTGCTCGTGACTGGCAGTTATATGGAAGTCGAAAGTTAAGACTGCGTGGTCACTTTTACCTAGGGGTGGCATATGATGGAGGTTCGCAACGTCATCCTCATAGTGAGTCAATAAAATGTTTAGTAAGGATGATTCACTGTCCAGGTCGTACCTAGTCGCTTATTTCACATGTTGCACTAGGGCACATGTGATAACCCCATCAACTAGTTCCTGCTCGAAGGAATTTTCTGACGGTTCATTTCGCAGATTTTCTCAGTCTACCATTGATGCATTAAAGTCCCCTAGGATTAGACATCGACCACTTTGTGACCAAGTATTGAGACTGCTTAGCAGTACCTCACTTGCCCCACAGCCTGGACTGCGATAGACCAACCCAATAACCAGGTTTCTGTGACTGCGATTATGTCTGGCTTTGTAAAGTCAGTCTGCCACAATTGGTTGATCACTGGGTGGCGATCAATTTCATGCGTGTCTAGTGATCAACCAACTGTGATTACATCTCAGTCCTACAGGAGGTCGGTCGCGGATCGGATAGCTCAGTGGTAAAGTCTCTGACTGTGATGCTGAGCGACACGAGATCGAATCCGCCAGACAGTACCCCGGGTCCAGGGTTTCCTGTCGACTACCTCCAACCACCATCTAAAGAGTCAATCTGTACACCTAGTTCCGATCGCTTATTGAGTAAGCTTCGGGCGTTAGTGTAGCAGATCCGAAGCCTATTTAAGTGGCTTCGTGCTCCACCCACAGTGGCTTCGGCATCATTCTCTGTCGAAGCCTTACAACCCGAAAATTTACAATTTGTATGTTCTTTTCGCCAGTGTCTATTCTAAGTTGTAGTTCTTTTTCGGCTTTCCGTCTTTTTACGCGGTCTGCCAACAGCAAGTCCTTATGGATAAAAACTCCTTAGCCATTTAATTTATGTCTATTCTGTAAAATTAATTCGCGTTCATTCGAAGATCTGAATACTACTTTAAGCAGTCTGGATTGATTAGGCTTCAAGTTCGCTAGACTACCTAGTCTGTACACCTTTAGCAAGGTGACTCCGGGGATATTTTGAGGCATGAGCTGGTTAAGTAGCTGCTTTATCAGCACGATATCATTCTGAAAACGAGTTTTTGGTTCAGAGCTCCCACTCTCCTTGGTTCTATCAAAATAAGTGATCTGTCACTATGGTCAGCCTTCGATTTCCCGACTACTTTTATGGGGGCAGGATTCCCTTTTATATCGTTATGATGTTTTTTCCTTACAACTTGCACCCATTCGTCAACGTTACTAGTAGAAGCAACCATAGTTGTGCTGTTTTACCTCGTTTGGTAGGTGTTAGTCACCTGTTTTGGAACTCACCTGAGTATACTTCACACCAATTTGCATGTCTACAGAGTGAGTACTGTTTAATGTGTCCCGACCACGCTTACCGAAACACATTTTGCAGCATTTAACAATGAGATGGCCTCGGTTAGCAAGCTGTTTGCATCCGAACAGCACTGTTGACAAGGCCATACGCAACCGTTTTTACTGAACTGTTTGAAAGCCACAGGCGTTAAATTCGTGCAAACATAAGATAGTTCATGGGGAGGTGTCTAGTATGATTTAAATGATTGTGGATCTAACAGAAGAAGCTTTCGCTCAGTGAGCTTCAGTGCCTGATAGTAGCAGACCACTGATGTCTCGAGTAGTGGACCTATGTACGTGAAATTCTCAGGTGTAAGTATTAGTAAATCAGTATGATGTACGTGTAGCAGTAAGAGAGTCCACAAAACAAATAGTTCTGTGTGTCTTTGACCCTTATACTGGCCTCATCAGTTTCACTAGACACGTCAGCGACGTTTACTACAATTATTCCTTCGTACATTATTTCGGCTAATGTGAACTCTAAATGCATAACCATCGACCGTGCTCAGAGAATTCTCTCGGATCTGAATACTTGTCCATAAATAACAACTAAAACACGAACTAAAAACTTATGGGTATTACTTGTCAGCATAGTGAATACGATTACTTATTATTATTATAAGGTTCTCAAACATATAGCAGCTTTGCATCCCATGAACTTGTGTGTTTACTGTTCCATGAATCTTTTGCATCATCTTAGTTTTGTTTTAGGCAGGGGCTGACTGCTTGTGTGTTATATGAGCTGAGCAAGTTGCGTGGGCCAAAATTTTAAAATTTCTTCACTGGGCTTTCCTTTTGTCTGTCTTTAATTTTTGAAATTGAAGTTAGCAGTTTATGGTAGAGCAAAATAATACGTTTACACACTAATTCCATTGATTCGACATTTTACTATATCATTCAAATCCTTGTTGTGGTATTGGTTCTAACCTAACGATACTCGAAATCGAATATAAATAACTGAAAAAATTCAGATTCATTACTCAGAGAGGGGAGGTCAGTTATGGTGGACGCAGGTATTAATCAATCCTAGTAACATGGCTCAGTCATGCAGGCTCGGTTATTCTGTATAACCTGCTTCTCGTATCAAATATGTTCGTCGGAAGTGTTATACGTCATATTGCTGATTGTCATAATAGGACGAGTCAAGGTAGAGAATGATGTGGCTTTTACGTAAGATCGTACAGATTAGGTGTCACATCATGACGAATCTGCAATTTGGGGATTAGGTCTATTACTGTAGTAATAAAAATGTACTAATATCAAATAAAACCAAACTTCTACACCCTTAGTGCATCTCGTTTTACACCTTTTTTGTCTGTTAAC